AAAAAAAAAAAAAAAAAAAAAAGGCTGGGCATGGTGATGCACACCTTTAATCCCAGCACTCAAGAAGCAGGGGCAGGAAGATCTCTGTGAGTTTGAAGCCAGCCTAGTCTACATAGCTAAGGCTTTGTAGAGAGACCTTGTCTCAAAAACCAAAAAAAGAAATACAAGTGCTTTTTTGGAAGAACAAAGTAAAAATCACTTGAAATCCCACACATAAACCACTGGCAGAATGACCTGGGGTAGTCCTCGGTTGCAGACTGCTTACCTAGGCTATACTATACCTAGGCTATGCTCTGGGTCTTGTCCCCAATATTGGAAAGCATAATCAGAGAATAAAACAAATGTGGAAAAAATGTTTTCATGTGCATCCATCCAAGCTGTTCAGAAAGGTCCCTGTTTGTGGGTTACATTCCAGATGGTGCCCTATTGAACGTCCTGTTTGTACTCAGCATGTATCACACACTCCCTTCTTTTCGGACAAGAAAAGTCCAGGCATTGTTTTTTGAGGTAGTGGAAACTGGCAGGGTTCTTGTGCATGCTAAGCAACTACTCTACTGTTGAACTAAATCCCCAGCCCTGCCTTGGTTTACTATTATTACATAGAGGGTTTTGGGAGGGAACTGGCTTAGAGAGAATGATTATGACCCTGACTAGGCTTGGACTTGCTGTATAACCAAGACTGACCTTGAACTTCTGATTTTCATTTGGTGAAGTACTGGCAGAAGCCAGCCTATATACTACCATTCCCATTTTTATGTAGTGCTAGGAATCAATGCTCTATCCTACCGTTCCCAGTCTTATATACTGCTAGGGGCTTTGTGCTTGCTAGCAGGCATTCTGCCACCTGGGCTGCATTGCCAGATCTATGTTGAGTTTTAATTTCATAACTTATTTAGTTACTTCATTAAGGGATATTTATTTTTTGTTTTTTACTATATTAATGCCACAGCTGTTGAGTATGCAGTGCTGTACACCTAAAAGTTGTAATTTTAGCATAAGTAACTGAGATTTTTATGACAGTGATACACATAGCTGAGACTTTGCCACATGAACACGCTGGTCTTCCCAAGGTTGTGCAGGTTTCACAGGATCCAGTGCCCTTTTCTGGTCTTTGCAGGTACTTCACAAAAATGGTGCACAGCCATTCATGTAGGCAAACACTCATAAAATAAAAATAAATCTTTTTTTAAAAAACCTGCTAAATTAGTATTTAGATTGATTTAGAGTTATTTTCCAAATGTCTAACCCATTATCTCTCCCTCACTTATGGGTTAGTGTGTGAGTTTCCTACTAGTTTGGTGCTTTCTTCAGCAGCATATATAATAAAATTGGAATGATACAAACAAGATTAGCATGGCTCCTGCACAAGGAGCTTACTACTTTGTAGTGTTTGTTTTTCTGTTGAGAATGACATTGCCTGAAACATGGCTGTGTCCAGATGTGGCTATGTTCCCCCAGATTACAGAATCACTGGAAATACTGTGCTGTGTTACTGCTGTGGTCTGCGTAGCTTCCGAGAGTTGACCTACCAGTATCGGCAGAACATTCCTGCTTCTGAGTTGCCAGGTAAGGACCCCACAGAGCAGCTCTGTCTGTATAGGCTTCTCTAATCAATTCTAACAGATACTTAGCAAAGCACTATACTCCATACTTAGCAGACGGGGCATGGAGGCAGAAGACAGGCACACCACATGCACTTGCTTTTCAGACTGGGTCAAGACCCATGGGTTTCTAGAGCAAAGCAACATAAAGATGTCAGAGATATCACTTAAGCAAGTTCGTTTCCTTGACTTGATTTTCAGATACATTTGGTTTTTCTTATCCAAAAATCTTGGAATAGTCAATGAAAACTGATCATAAAGAGAGATAAAATATCAACTAGCATGATAGCTTAGTGCTTTCTGTGCTGGCATGAAAACCTGATTTCAGTCCTCATGTTAAAAAACAAAACAAACAACAACAAAATGGCTCTAAGGGTCTTGCAGACGTCCCAGGTTCGGATCCCAGAACCTGCATGACAAGTTATATTGGTTGTAACTCCAGTTCCAGAGGATCTGGTATCCTTTCCCGGCCTCTGTGGGCATTAAGCGCATACACAGTGTACTTATGTACATGCAGTCAAAACACTCATACACATAAAATAAATAAGTCTGTTCTAAAAACAAAGAAGGTGGCTGGGTGGTGGTGGCACACATCTTTAATTATAGCACTGGGTAGCAGAGGCAGGTGGATCTCTGAGTTCAAAGCCAGCAGGTTCTCAGAAACAGCAGCAGCAGCCGCCCTAAGCCAGGTGTAGTAACTCATGTTTAGAATTCCAGAACTAGGGTGGCATAGTCAGGCAGATTTTTGATTTGGCCAGGTAGCTTAGCCTAATTGGCAAGCCCCAGGCCACTGAAAGACCTTGTCTCAAAACAAAAAACAAAACAAAACAAAGCAAAAAATAATCACCGCATATTAGCTTTTGGTTTCTACACATACATTTGTGCTCACACACATGCACCTATATGAACATACATGAACACCCACACACAGAGTGACAAAGATGCTGTGTGCTCAGAGAGCATTTCCCTGCATCTCCAGTTAAGTTCATTTGCGGCCTGAAAGGTGTGTGATACATCTAATGTAGACATGTACCTTCTTTTCCAGTGACTGTCACATCCCGTCCTGATTGCTACTGGGGCCGTAACTGTCGCACTCAGGTGAAGGCTCACCATGCAATGTGAGTGAAGCTGGGAGACATTTGGGTAACTGCAGGTCCTCCAGGCTTAGCACGTGGGAAGGCAACAGTAATAGTAAATTATATGCTAAAAAGTGGCACTAATTTGGGGACTTGATGTATACCTCATTAGTAGAGTACAAAGTTCTGGGTTCAGTTCCTAGAATCTGAGTTCAGGACTCGCATTGGGCAGTTAGTAACAAACTATTACTCTAGCATCAGAGGATCAGACGTCAGTGGCATCTTCAGGAACCCACATGCAGGTATGCACACCTCCACACAGACACACAAAGACCTAAAAGTAATGAAAATAAATTTTAAAATAAAAGAAAGGACATTTCACCACTCACTCATCTTTGTTCATGGTAGTATGGATATGAGTAGTGAAGACAATTGCCATTTATTTTCTCCGTGCACATCTCCCATCTTACCCCTCGTTTGTGGAGAGGGCGAAGTGGCTGCTGTTCTCTCATTATCTGTCTCCACCCTGCTTGATGAAGCATAGGCAATGGCACACACTAAAGAAGCACAGCTCTTATTGTATCCTATGATAAATTACCCATTTTTCACTTTTATTTTAAAATTTAAAAAGAATGAAAGAAGAGTACCTTTGGAGTTTAAAAAATTCTTAGGCTGGAGAGATGGCTCAGTGGTTAAGAGCACTTGCTGCTCTTCCAGACAACTTGAGTTTGATTCCCAGCAGCCATGTTAAATAGCACACAGCCACCTGTAATTCCAGCTCCAGGGGATTTGACTCCTTCCTCTGGTCACCCTGGTCACTTGTACACATATACTCATATAGACACATAAAAATACACAAAATTTCAAATAAAAAGCACAATCTTCTTCTAAAAAGCATAAAAATTGGTGAGTGAGCTCATATACATGATTCTTACATGTTCTTATGTGGTGATTACAATATACAGTTTCGCAGTTTGAGTGGTCTTTGATGTTTTCTCTCCCTGCAGGAAATTCAATCACATCTGTGAGCAGACAAGGTTCAAGAACTGAGTATTGGAGGAGACACCTAAAACAGTTACAGAGCACAGGAGGCAATGATACTGTGTTTTTTAAAATACCACATACAAACACTTTAAGGGCATTTTTGACAGTTTCTCCTAAGCAGCACTGGGGTTTCTGGTCAGGCACTCTGGTGTGGCTTTTCCCTTCATGAAGCTTTACCTTCAGTGAGACGTGTGTGTGTGTGCATGTACATGCATGCACACACACATGCACACCCATGCACACACACACACACACACACACACACCATGTGCCCAGTAACATGGGAGACCTACTGGCCACACTGACCTCGTGGTCAGTGCGGGAGGATCAGCAGACCTAGCTCCCCCACTAGGCAGCTCTCACCACCTGTGTGGTGAGGCAGTTGATGGTGCAGGTTTGTACTTGTTTGTTTTCTACCTTGTACCTTGACTAAGTTAAAATGGAAAAGTTTCATGGAAAAAGGGTCAGCTATGTGAGAAGCATTCTATGGAAAGAAAGAAAGCATAAGTTTACAGCCTCCAGGGATGTACAGGATATTCTGTCTGGAAAGACACAGCCTTTTGTATATTTTTTATTTTAATAAGTTTGGTGCTTATCATCTAATAAGATTTAAATATTAAAAACTAGCACAAATACTATAACTTATACTTTACAAATTGACTGAAATTGGGAATAGTCTGATATATGGAATAATGAGCATATATTTCTGTTTATTTAAAAAAAAAAAAAAAAAAA